TGCGGTGGCAGAAATGATGATACACAGAAAGTAGTTCGTCATTGTGTTTGTGATAATACATCTCTTATGTTGGTTTCTATAAATGTATTGCTTTGAAGACAATAAATTTGTTACGTACTTGTTATGATTTGAATTAAGTCATAATATGTCCACATATTCCTGAAATTGTCATTTTTGCATATTAATTAGCAACAACCACTCGTTGTGTAACCTCTATTTCCATAATGCTTTACAAAATATAAATATAATGCAATTCCCAATAAAACATAGACTAATTTACAAAAAACTCATATATTTTTTTACTTTTGAGAGAGAGAGAGAGAGAGAGAGAGAGAGAGAGAGAGAGAGAGAGAGAGAGAGAGAGAGAGACTTGACCCTGTACAATTTACAATAGAAAATGCAATGCACACACAATTGTATAACCAAAAATGTCATACACTTGATATTGTGGAAATAATCTTCTAAAAATATGTACATGTACGGGTTTCTAAGCATTCCATTAAACATAAATGTTTTCGTTTTTTTCATACACTTTTTATGCGATCTATAAACCACATGTAAATCAATTGTTTGCGAGATGAAATCATAAAGGTTGGAAGATTTGTCAAAGTGTAATGACTAAGAAAAGTGAAATGGTTAATTATTTATAGATACTTAACTCGCAATGTTACCAAACACTGACGACAGACAGATGAACCCTTTCCACGCTTTTCGTACGCTCAGCAATTTGGGAGTCGGAGCGACTGGTTCGCCCGTTGTCAGTATATGTACAATGTGACCGAGTGGTGTGTCCTGCTTGGTATCTTCAGCAGTATGTTTAAGTGAGGTAGCACTCTAAAGTCTGCATCAGTTTAGCGCTTTCACAAGGAGACAAACACGAACATATCACAGCCTCCCAAAACAAACACGCATACACTACACGCATGCATCTTGCACACAGGGGAGTCCGTCCTTAAATAGCCATAGCTGTTGATAGGACGTTAAATAATACTAAACCAAACCAAATCCTGCTCAAATAGCTAAATTCCCCGAAGGATGCTACACCATTCGCTTCAATTGGGAACCGTCGGCACTTTAGGTGAACGAGAAAACGGGCGTTTACGGAAAGTGCCGACGGTTCCCGATTGCTTTGGCTTGTGTTTCAAGAAAACTTCAAAATCTGTAGAAGCTTAAATAATGTTGGCTACTTGCAAAACAAATATGCATTCAGTCTACACTGTCCAATACATTTTACATGTATAAGTCAAGTAACGGATGGAGAATCCAAAACGCGGTGGGAATCCTAAAATGATTTATAGGGTCTACCGAAAAAAGGACGGGCGAACGAGTGGACGGAAATAAAGACACCATATCAGAATGTGAGTTCAATTTAATGTGTTGGTTATTGTTAAGCAAACCGAAATTGACCGTCAACAGGGGTCAAATTCAAATGTATGGGTGGTTACTTTTTTTAAAACACCCCACCCTTACGGGATATCATGAGGAAATTCACTAAGGTCCCAGTTTTATCATGGTTTCATTTTGCACGTACAATGTAGTTGGGTACGAAAATCGCCTGAGTACTTTTCGGTATCGGCGACCAGGTCAAAGGGGGATAACTGCATATATATTTGTGAAACTCAAATGCGCTGCTGTTTTTATTTCGATTTGCTCATGGGTTCGACATGCTGCGCAATACCTGTGTCGCTTGTCCTGATTTCAACTCCTGATAGAACAATATTTGAGTAAACACATCTTTGATCCAGCTTACGTCACCGAAGTACATGTACTCTATGTTCGTTGTTTCTTCAATTTCTGACGGAAACACATACCGTGGACCCGTATTTATGAAACCGTTCTCATGCTCGAGCATGGATTTTGTGCTCAAGCCTAATTTCTTGTTCCGGTTATAGATTAATAAAAAAAATCTTCTTTTATCACTGATTTGGAAAAATTGAAGGCCGTATACTGTCTCCAAACTTTAATTTGACGTTTTGATCGTTTGACTTAAGTGAGTTAAGCATGAGAACGGTTTCATGAATACGGGCCCAAATGTCGCTTGTCCTGTGTTCGAATTTTGTGGAATTATAAGGTAAACATATCCTGTCGCTATTAGTCCCGAATTCGACTCCTACTGGAAGCACTCACTGCCGTCAGTCCATGGTTCGATTTATTACAGAAGACATTTTGGTACCATAAACATTGTCACCAACGTGTAACCGCTTGCACGTATAAGGTTAAAGACAAAAGCATGACGTCATGATCGGTAAAATAGAGGTACCCACTTGTGACGTCACATACATGTTGCTAAGCTGCTCAGCAATCGGCGAAGGCGGAGATAATCAGTCTCTCCCCTGATATTTACTTCATTTGCTTAAATCTTCGATTACCACAATGAATATCATGTTATTCTTGATATTTGTGGTAATAATGTGTGCCATGCACCAAGGGCCTGCTGTATATCGGGACCTTACGTGGTAAGTTTGAACCAGACATGGTAACACTAAGATAGGATCCTATATGATATTCTTTGACTTGACATTACGCAAAGATGAACATCAATAACATGTTCAAGTTTACGATTGTGTTGCCATTGAATGTTTAGAATTATTTACCCCTAACTTTACAATTCTAACTCTGTAGCATGGAGCCCGAACCAGGATATGCCAAAAGATTGTTTTATTATTTCACCGCAAGTGAAATTGAGAAAGTCTGTCCAACGGTTACCGATCTGACATGGGTAAGGATTACATAGTTTTTAATGTTAATGACTGTCATGAAAACGTCAACAGTTTGTGTTTTACTAAAAACTAAGTAAGCTCATGTTGATGATGATGTTTAACTGATTATATTCTTCATAGATTTATTAATTAAATACCTGGTATATTTTACGCGTATGCTTTTCTTGTGTGTATTTCGCAATATTATCAGCCACCAGCTATGCTGTGTTAGCGTCCAGTTGTGACAAAAATGGATTTCTTCTCCGTTGTCCGTACATCTGTATCTTAGGAATTTGCGGGTCTGGAACATTGAATGTTTGTTTTAAAGAACAATTCCCTGGAAATTATTACGAACTTGATTCATTTTAGCGAATTAGAACTGCGGTATTCTATTGTCTGCTGTGGATGCTTCTTACCCTGATGTTGGGCTATGCGCCGTCGATCGGAAAAACCGTCAAGGAGAAATTGTCAGCCGCCGTGTCAATGTTCCAAGAATGGAGAGCTTGTAAGTAACCAGCGGAGGTTAAATTATTGACTAAAGCAGCCGTCTAATGAACGTATCAGTTTTCTCACTTTCAGTTCTTGTTCTGTTTACCCACTTATGAATACCTTTTCGAAAATTAATGTACTTTTTTATGAACCTAGTGTTGTAAAAACTACCTTAGCGCGCCACCTTGCGGATGATACACGTTTGCTAGCTTGGAAACCATTTCAGAATCTTGCATACCAGTGTTCTCAGAGCAATGTTTTAATTAAATATTAAAGCGAATTGTTTGGTAACGTACAGTGTAATTGTAATCTTGTCAGACTTTCATCTCAGAGTAGCTCTTTGGTCGTGTTTAAAGAACGGGAACCACTTTCTATAAGCCCGGTAATTTGTCAGATTTGTGTGTCTCGAACCAGCCAGATAGGTAACTGTTAGTTCCGGGGTCCATTCTGATAAAATCTCAGGATGCGTAGAAAGTAATGTTTTGTGTGTCGAAAACTGAAACCTTAGATTTCGAAAATTTGTCTTGACATATTAAATATTTATTTGTGCAGGTCCTTCCCTCTGCCGTCACTGCGGTACTGCCCCGTGTCAGGTTAAAAGGAGATCCTTGTGGAAGCCCTCCGGTACTCGTAAGAAAGACAAGGCGAATTTCACAAAAAGGTCAAACGCTATGATGTTGTTTTACTATGGACTAGATCTGTCCGCGGTACTGACCAAAAAGCTGCGCTGGAATGACCTTTACTTGGAGAGGAAGCTCGTCCAGCATTTCGAGGAGGAGCATTTGCGGTTGTTCCCACTCTGCATCCAGCGTCATATCAACTACTGGCACCCTGTCCCTCGCTAGGTATGTACTCTGTCCCTCAACTGGTACTATGTCCCTTGATAGGTTGGTACTATGTCCCTGCTAAGTAACTGTCACTCACTCGCAAGGAACATTGTCACTCACTATGTCCCTTGCTAGGTAGGCACTATATCCCTCTCTATGTACCATATTCCTCGCTACGTTGGTACTATATCCCTATCTTGGTACCATGTCCCTCCTTAAGTTGGTACTATATCCCTCTATTGGTACAATGTCCCTCCCTAGGTTGGTGCTATATCCCTCTCTTGGTACCATGTCCCTCCCTAAGTTGGTACTATATCCCTCCATAGATACCATGTCCCTCCCTAGGTTGGTGCTATATCCCTCTGTAGGTACAATGTCCCTCCATAGGTTGGTGCTATATCCCTCTCTAGGTACAATGTCCCTCCATAGGTTGGTGCTATATCCCTCTCTAGGTACCATGCCCCTCCATTAATTGGTACTTAATCCCGCTCTAGGTACCATGCCCCACGCTTAGTTGGTACTATATCCCACTAGCTACTCCTCCCTGACTACACTGTAGGTAGGTAGGTTTACCCTGTTTTCGCTAGGTAGGTTCCTCCCCAACATTAAAATAAATGAGATAAATTGTTTTGATTTTGAATAATCAATTTCATACATATATTTTTAATCAATTTTCCTTAATGCCAAAACTACAATGCATGACAACATATTCTGCAGTGGAGAACGGACAGATTGTGCATTACGTTTACCTGAAATTTTGTTATTTATTTATTTCATTGCAGATTCGTTTTGCCGTTCAAAGAGAAGAATGTGGATTGCAGTCGATGGTGGAATAGAAGTTTCAGATTGATGTCAGAGACTCGATTTATTTGCCTTCGTTTTTTGGTCACGATCCGATATGATTGGAATGATGTTTGGCCAATGTGATTTAGTACCTTATATTTGTTTTATTGAATTGTAACTCTATGGATCTTGACCACTAGTGGTTTCGTGAAGAACTGAACCGATACCTGATAAATTGGCCATTATAACTTGGCTAGCATTGTCCAGCATTGGTCCAGTTTATAAATTTCGATGGTGTTTGTTTGATTGGTCAGTTGCTAACATGTTTCTATTGGCCATTAGGTGATTTGAGTAGTTGTGGAGCTGAAAAGTTGGCCAAGTAGCATTGGTCAGTTCGTAGTCGATTCGCCTTGTGTGGTTCCACACTGTTTGCGGCTATCATTTCGAACGTTTCTAACTCTGTCACATCTTGAAAGCTATCGGCCCCTCGTACATTTATGCTAAGCTTAGTATTGTGGCATATCAAAATAAATTGATTCTGCAATGACCGCTAATGGCATGGTTTGGTGGTGTTGTTGTGGTCAGTTATACATTCGGTCAAACTGACCCACAGGTTTTGTAAAATTACCAACATTGTATTAGTCAGTTTTACTTTTGCGAATTTGTGTGGTAACAATCACGTGATCAATAAAATTCTTCAAATTGATTTTCGTGTTCATGTTATATTTTTGTAGCCATCGTTATAAAAAATGTCATAGATTCGTAAAAACGTATAAAATGTCATGAATTGAAGCGAGAGTTTGCTTATATTACCGATACCTCGACCCGTATTCACGAAACCATTATCATGCGCAAGCATGGATTCTGAGCTCAAACAAACTCTGTTACTCGCTTAAATAATGGGACACGATCAAAATATCAAATGTTAACATTGAAAATATACTTCGGCTGTAAAACTCCATAATTCTTCCAAATTATTGACAAATTGTTTATTTTACATTTATCACTGGAACAAGATATTGGCTTGAGCACAAAATCTGGTTTTGAGCATGAGAACGTTTCCGTGAAAACGGCCCCTTGATTTACGGCCATCCTCTAAATTCTTTATGTATCATGTTATATTTGAAGTAGCTGATTTATCTGTCTTTATCTCCGTACTTTACGGATACACTGTCATATCTGACTATATCATGAAGTCCTCACTTATGTTCGGTATAAAATTAATCAACAACGCCGTCACGTCCTTAGCACTTTCATCAAAGAGATTCTTCATGTTTATCTTACCACACTATTTTATAAATAAGATTAAAAAACCCCACCAAAATCGTAGAGAATAGAGACGAAAGGATATATATGAAATTAAATTATTGTGAGGTAGATTAAATCGCTTAGCATTGAATAGCTTATTACAAAATGTAAAAGAAATATGAAATATCTACATATAATAAAATGAAATTGGGAGAGAGAGACAGAGATAGATTTTAGTCTTGCTTGTTTCAGAATTGAAACTAAATTAAGTTAACAGACTTATCACAATGTTATATAACAATGTTATAAAACAGACTTGTAACAATAACAATGTTATATAACAGACGTATACCAATGTTATATAACAATGTTATATAACAGACTAATAAAAATGTTATATAACAGACTTATAACAATGTTATTTAACACACGTATAACAATGTTATATAACACACGTATAGCAATGTTATATACCATACTTATAACAATGATATATAACAGACTTATATCAATGTTATATAACAAACTTATAACAATGTTATATAGTACACGTATAACAATGTTATATAACACACTTATAACAATATTATATACCAAACTTATAACAATGTTATATAATAAACTTATAACAGTGTTAACCCAGGTGACTATAAACACACTCATTACTCGCTACGTGTACATGTATACAGTTCTCAATTCAGTTTTGTTACCTTCTGTATGCAATTGCTAAAAGATTCACATTCTGGCAAAATCTATTCTGCATGTCATAAACTGTATGTGGGGAAGACACTGATGCCATAATCTTCTGATTTTTGTTTCTGAGTGGCATCTACTTTCTGTTTCACTGTTTGATAAAAAAAGAAAACCAGCATCACAACGAATGATTCATCAATCACAGAAAATATCATTGCATAATACCAGTGTGTCCATCATGATAAGAATGAAACGATAAGGTCACACAAAATTAATATGTGTACATAGTATACCATGCAAAATAAACTGAAGAAAAGTCAATGGCAAATAACCAGTGAAAAATGAATCAATACAAGACTGACAAGGGTGATTGTCTAAGTTTTTAAGTATTATGACAGTATTTTTTTTTCTTCATAAACATATACATTTATACATATTGAATTTCTCTTTCACGGGTGTGTAATACTGCACAATTCAATTAATTCAACACTCAGGGCTGGTAGATTTAATATTTCCATATTTACTATGAAAACATAGGTTGGGCTAGTAGAATGTTTAAAAAATCAATTTGCGGACTAGTTTGTGAAAATGAAATTGTACACCTCAAAACATGAAAAATGAGTAGAGATAAAAAAAAAATCATTTGCAAAAATATAAAATAGGGACACCTTAATGGACTAATTTTGTTTTAAACATTGCACAGTGCATCAAATTATTAGGGTATCTATTTGGCAAGGCCTATACATAGTTTCAGAATTTCACAAATAAAATATTTCAAATTGAAATAATTCCAATACTATAACTACTCATGGAAAAATGCGATACTGACCAAATTGATTGACTAGAGCGTAATTGTATTATAATTTTATAGCATTTATAATTCAATAGTATTACTTACTGTCACACTCAGGAGAATTTCAGGTGGACTCTCAAATTAACACATAATACAAATATTCACACAAGTAGGTAAATTCAAATTTTATTATAATATAATAATATTGTATTTGTGTTCTCATACGAGTGGTTAATATAAGCCAGCAACTTGAGCAGTAGTATGAATGTATTAAGGTCATAGGTTTCCATACTGTTTATTATTGGAAGTTGACTATTCGACTATTCGTTGTTTTTTTGTTAATTGTTCTGCCCATTACACAATTTTTATTCATGGTTTGATTTTTAAAGCATTTGGTCATTAATCTCATTATACAATAAAATATACATGTAACTTGAAATATTTGCTGTTCATGCTCATATTTTACAGAATATTTTTCTTTCTCCCGAAGAACTGCATCATACTTAAAAAGATGTGCCCCACATTCTTGAGATAATGCAGGTTGATTTTATTGAAATACAGAAAACCTGACTTAATAATAATAATAATATACAGCATTTGATATAGCGCCCTATCTAGCTAACATACGCCACTATCCTTTACAGTACATATATATAGATATACAATTAATACAATTAGCATATACATAAATCAATACCATGATTTTCAGGCGCTTACTACTGGCCCTATGCCACCTGGCTAATATATCCCTATGTGTGTATACATGCGTGTTGTAGGAGTTGTGTGGGCGGGAGAAAAACACCTTCTCTGCATATCAATGCGTATACGAACTCGGGAATCGAACCCCGGCCGCCTGTGTGGAAGGCCGGACTTACTCGACCGATGCACTTGTTTTGGAAAAATGATCCACGAGTTACGGTCACTGACGCTCCCTGCACCCCTGGACTCATCATCGACACTCCATGGTTACGCTCTCTGCACCCCTGGACTCATCATCGACACTCCATGGTTACGCTCTTTGCACCCCTGGACTCATCATCGACACTCCATGGTTACGCTCACTTACGCTCTGTTCAGAGAGCAAAAGTGAGCGTAACCCCTGGAATTTCGAGGATGCCCTGGAATATGTCATGACAAAATCGAAGGTTCAGTGTGCGCTACCTTGTTGATGAGAAAAAGAAGATATAAACATAAAAAAAAAATATCGCGGTCGCGTAACGGTAAAAAATGACTGGCTTTGAAGTCGGGTGTCGCTTCTTTGTAATTTCCAGGAACAGGTATCCGTCTGGTGATAAGTCAGTTTTTTTTACCCGAGAATAATAAAACAGCTATCTTTGTGCCTTCGATTTTGCTTTGACATATTCCAGGGGTGCAAAGAGCGTTTTTGTGCGTAAGATATCGAGGATGAGAGTAATGGCGCATGCTTCAGCTGCTGAGTGTATGATTTCACACACTTACTTTCTCAGCATACCCATCTTACTGTTCACAGGGACCTGGTTATTTGTTAACGCTATAGTTATACCCAAACAAAGATGTTAAGAGACTTGAGAGTTATTTAACACATTTTAGGGATTTATATTAACTCTCGGTAAAAATGTCATCCCCGAAGTGTTTTTTTTATCCCTTAAGAGTTAATATTACTCTGAACATCTTAGTTCCCCGTCGTGTGCTCGTTCAGTAGTGGCTTACCTAGATTTAAGAAGCTAATGTGATCAATGTTAGTGTATGTTTAATACATGCATCGGATGTTTCATGTGACATCAACATTCCTGATAATACTAAAATTGAAAAAAATGAACTTAATAATTTTATTAATCTGGTTTATTTTTTTTTAAAGAGATACACAAATAAGTTCCATGATATTGAAACTGAATTCGAAACTTTTGAAAGTTCAGGATTATTCAGAAAATATTTTTTGCACTAGCCCGAGTTTCCTCTGTCCCTGACATTTTGACAGATGGATGTCTGGAGTGGGGATCTACACTGTACCTTGTATCTGTCAAAATGTCGAAGTCTGGTGTCAGGGCCAGATGCAACTCGAACTATTTTTGCACTTGAAATATTGTTATGAAAATATGTATAAATCAGTTTATAATCTACACTATTATGTAATAAAACACAATCAAGATGTGATGATAGCTGTAGTATTGCTTAAGCCCGAGATATATGTTCAGCTTGTACCACGGACTAATCTAATTCCGTGGATGTACATTTCATTACTTTGTAGCCTCGGCCTATTGTAAAATACCGATTTAGAAATTCTCATAGTTGGTCGTAGAACAATATTGGCTTTTAGAAACAAAATTGTACTGTTTTCAAACTCATCTTTAACAAAGTTTTCTTGCATCGTTAATTTTCATTATTTTTGTTCAATATTTGCAAACTAACTAGGCTTTCGACATTTTACCAGATAACAGTATAAAGCTTCGTGCAGACAGAGATCAGCACTGCGTATAAAATTCCCGTGATATTCAAACGCACACATGATTAGGAACTTTGACCCAGATGTAAACAAGATGGAGAGACTAGTTTCGGTATTGGAGTCTTATCGAGGCAAGGACAGGATCATTCGGTTAACCGGATTTGTCGCAACATTTCTTGCAGGTACAGCGAAGGGAAAGTCTGCCCTCCATTTTAAAACGATCGCCACCGAACTTGCAGCATGTCGAACGGTACTTCGACTGTTCGACGATACCTCAATGCTGATGAGCAATCTGGTATACGGGACAGGATCAAAGGTAAAGAAATAGTACGCCGTGGGTCAGTATGTGGGACAGTCCAGATGGTGACAAGTTTCAAGTTTTATTTTTACACTCACGCCACATGTATACGTGCGTAACAAGAGGTCAAATATTAAATAGTATACATTGATGGACATAGTACACACATCATATATATGTGTCATAGTATGTGTGTACTATGTCCATCTGTGTATACTTTGTAATATTTGCAATACAAATCCATTTAAATAATTCTTGTAGCTAACTTATTTTAGATATTAAAAAGCTTGGTTACTCTTTGTATAGATCTACTTACTTTTGTTAAAAGTACCGTGTAACACCTTTCATTTTGATATCAACATTACTAAATTATTATAGTTGGGTCGACTTAAAAATAATTTGGTATATAAAGTTAGCAAACAACACTTGAAGTTATAATAATAAAATTTGTTTTGAAAATACTGAAAATTTAAGGCGGTGATCGATTTAATTAAGTTTTCTTTCAATAATGGCGATTTTGTCCCTTTCAGCAGAGACACAGAAATAACTCTATAATTGTAAAACAACAGATTAACAGATAACGTTGAATTTATTTATTCTATCTCTCCATTGATATTTAAACACAACGAAGTAATACAAAGCCGTTTGTGTCAATTAGTTTTTAAAAAATTGGGATTTTTCTACACGTGGGGCAGAAATCCTGAATAGCACATTTAGAGTCTTGTCTAAGAGCTACAACAGATACATTAGTACATTGGTATAGATAGTGGTATTCGTACCCAACACAGTTATAACGTAGAGGACATAACCTTTCCTCAAAGTGATCTACAAATGTAGTTGTACAATGTACAGTACACACATACTGATAAAAAGTGTCCTACTTTTTGGTACATGTTGTAGGATCACAGGGTCCGGACAAATAAGATTATGGATTATGTACAGATGTATAATAATCTGCTTAAACCACAGGGATTTGACATAATATCAATAAGATATAGTCTAGATGAAAAAAAAATCACTCTTTATACATGTGTTTTAATAGTTTAGAGGGTGTTTTGCTTTTATCTAGACTGTTTTAACTTCAAACTTCTGTGCTAAAACTTACCATAATCGCAGAGATTAAATTATAATCGGTCGTCTAGCTGGAGCATGCAATTATGGTCAGTTTTAGCTGTTTGGTTGAGTGGTTTAACCAAACATGTAGGAACTATATCATCGTCCGTCAATTCACCTATGATATAAACAAGGTTGCTAAGTTCATTGCCCTAGTAAAATTAAACAATGACACACAGATTTAGTTTGTCAGACACTTTACCATCCAGGGCATGACTCGATAAATTCCTAGTGGGTTGGACTGTAAACACTACGTTTTTAACATTCAGAGTCTGTACAGTGTTTGATAGGAAACAGGTTGTTTCGCCCCAAATCCTGGTCGCCCTGGGTTGTTACGCACCAAGTTGTTTCGACCTAAAATTATTTCTAGGGCAAAATTTCTTTAGCACTCATTAGTCGTGTATGACTTATTCCGTCTTTGCGTACTGCAGAGTTATCTTCTCTTGGGAGCAGGTATCAATTGTTACGTCATTGGTTTGTGCGAGAAAATTAAGTCGTTTTTCTCAAAAACTGATGACGTTACTCTCACAAACAAATGATGTAACAATCAATACCTGCTCCCAAGGGAAGATAACTCTGCAATACACAAAAACGGAATACGGTCTCATTTGAAGTTTCCCTCTAGGTCTCCCAAAGTCTTTTTTGTCAAAAGTCTTGTTTGATTCGTATGCATGTGGTTGACCAGATCTGCATGCAATATTGTATACACCTCGCACAATTCTTCGTATGACACAATTGTTCTTATTATATAATTAAAAAAATCTTGCAATCTCATAGGCCGAATCCTATACACGTGACCAGTCCTCAAAATCTCCTGTAGACTGGTTATACTGTGAATATGGATTTCTACATATAAGATATATGGAAATTGCCTTTCTTCTTTTGACAGGGAGTTAGAACCTGGGTTGTTGCGGTGTTGGAGGGCGAGCATATTTAAAAAGGGCAGATTTTTATTGTACATATAGGATTACTAGCTGTGACTAGAGGGAATTCCCTTTAGCTAAGTGGTAGAGCGTCCTACTAGGAACCTAGAGATTGTAGGTTCAATATGTAATGGGAGAGGGAAAATGCACTGCTAGACCAGGATTCCGACCAGGGACCTTCAAAACCATAGCGAAATGTTCTGTAATATAATAATAAAAAAAATATGAGGTTCTTATATACCGCTTTATCACAACCTAGTTCGAAGGTCGTCTCAAAGCGGTTCACAAATCGTTATCCCTGGTTATAGTGCCTTAGCAACCAGCCAATATCTTTCTCAACTCCCTGAGGTGCATACAGCCCAATGCTGCCATTTTGATGCTCACAGCTAGCATTCAACAATTCTAGCACTGCCCATCCACATACTTATTTACAGCTGAGTAGACTGGAACAAACAGCGTAAAGTATCTTGTTCAAAGAGACAATGTACTCGAACCCCCAACCCTTCGATCACGAGACCGTCGTTCTACCACTTGACTACAATGCCTTCATATCTGACCAATTCAGCTATCTGGTCACCTGCATATCCACCTAATCCAGCTGTGCAACATTTATTAACATTTAAGTATCCATTTATTAACATATTTCTCTCCTGTCAAACTGTCAATGATCGACAAATTTTATCAACAACAACATTGTATTGATATACATATTGCCTGAAACAACTCTTAACTCATTCACCCCTGACATTTCATAATGAACTATTCCAACCTATGAATTGGAAGAGTTCAAATGTGTTTTCAGGGGTGAATGAGTTAACATATATTGTAGGTGGCAAAGAAATACTGATCACAAAGTTAAAAAAAGTACTGTAACAGCTTAGGCATTAAAGGGTGAAGTACTGGCTAATTACTGGCAAGCTAGCTTTTCCAGTGATGCGGTATAACCCAGGGACCCACTCACTAGTTCAGCAATGTCGAGCGTGGTCAGTAGTTTAATGGTTGACCGCCTGCATGTTTGATTTGGTGGCAGCTGGTGACTTTGTGATCATGTAAGGCCAGTTCCCGGTGGTCAGATAAGGTGCATAGATACACAGGGAGGACTCGTGTGATTCCCCAGGCATCACATGTCCACTGATAAAAACCGACATTGACCAATGGAGTACATTTTATTTTTTCAAGGACTGGGTGTTTCTAAAATAGAATGATGTTGCGTCTTCAAACAATGCACCTTCCCGCTTCCGTAGCTTTTTTGTTGTTATTTTTTCAGATTGCTTACATTACTGTTTTGAAAATAATAAAACAACGGTAGTCTTTAACTTCGGTTGATACCAGTGGACGGCAACCTCGGTTAATGTATCATTTCTCGGGTCGATAAATCAAGCTATTGACCTTAGCCAGAGGCTATAATTGAATACTATACTGGCCACGATAACTTAATATCATAATAACAATACTGTGGATGGTTGTCCCTCTAGTGGAACAGGAATAATTAAGAAAGCAAGAAAAAAACTTTTCAGCCAAAAAAAATGTTTATTTGCAGTTTACTGACTGACACAGTAAACATTGATTATATTTTTCGATTTTTTAATAAAATTTGTTTATTTTGCTGAGAAATCACTGAAAGTTGGTGTTTTTAGAAAGGTGACCTTTCTAGAAATGAAAAATAAATCTTACCTACCTAGCTACAGAAATTAATGTGAGAAGGAAAACTGATATCCTCGATATCCAGGGGTTACGTATACGTTCACTTTTGCTCTCTACACCGCTGGAATATATGTCATAGCAAAATCGAAGGCTCAGTGTGCACCACCTTGTGGATGAGACGAGAAGACTGGTTTGTTTTTTACTTGTGCATGAAACTTCAAATCTTGAGGTCGCATAACTTACAGGTCATCCTCGATAATCCGGTGAGTGTAACCACTGGATATTGAGGGTGCTTACAGGTAATTGGTTGCAATTGGTTGGGATTTTTACCTGAATTCAATCAAACAGCTAGCCGTGTGCCTTCAATTTTGCTATGACATGTTTCAGGGGTGTAGGGAGCGAAAGTAAGCATAACTTCTGGAGTGTCAAGAATTGGAAACTGCAAACAAACAGTTTCTTGAGAATCGCCTTGCTTACTTATCACAAATAACATTTTTTCTTTCGTTTCAGGAGCCTGTCACAGCGCTACGTATCCTGCAACTAATTGGTAACTTCGTCAACCAACTTTACTACCCAGTGGAACACATTGCATGGCTGGGCAGCAAAAATATCATCAACGTTGAGTCCGGCAAATATATGCTGTTTGGACTCATGATCTGGGTGACTTCCCTTACCACGGAAATTACCAAGTAAATGAAATTGTCCTGTGTTAATCATGTGCGGAAGATTTTAATTGTACATAGGATCACGGGCAACTTCTAGCTTTGTGCTGAAGGGAATTTAAGCTAAATGTTAACGTTAGAGGTGTAAGACAATGTGATCCTTCGGGGAAACAAATGGTCGTATTTATTTAAGCTCGCTTATACAATGGACAAGTGAGCTCAGTTTGTGGTGTAATGTCAGTCATCCATCCTTTCATCTTGTGTCCGTCCATCCTCTGTTCTGTCTTAATTTGTTCTTTAAAGAATCGAAGTTTATGGTAGAGTATTTGATTTTTTTTTTCTGTCGCTGACCTTGACCTGTTTTCAAGGTCACAGAGGTCAAATATGTTACAGATGGTCTAGAGGCATGGTATTTGGGTATTGCAAATACACCAGTAATGAATATTTTTCTGTAGCCCTAGTTACCTCCGGCCCTGACATCAGACTTGGACATTTTGATAGATAGATGTCTGGTGTCAACTATCTGTCAAAATGTCTCAGTCTGTACGTGTGATGGCCAGAAGAAGCTCGGGCTAATTCTTTAACCCACCATCACATCACCCTTCAGCCGTGGTCCTTTGCTCCTTGGTCTGTCAGTCTGTCGTTAGTCGTCTGTCCTCAAACAATTCTTGTTATCACTATATTTCTCAGGAAGTACTAGAAGGATCTTTCTCAAATTTGATATTTGGATTTTGCCTTGGTCTATAGTTGTGCATATTTAATTTTGAGAATGATCTGATAGATAAAATTACTGACAGGCAGCCATCTGACATATAAAATGGCCGACAGGCAGCCATCTTGGATTTTGACATTGAAGGTTTGTTATCACTATTTCTTAAAAGTACTGGAGAGATCTTTCACAATTTTGACATACATGTATGTTCCCTTTGGTCTGTAGTTGAGACTGACTTGCTAAACAATATGGCTGATAGGAAAAACTTCACAGATCTGTATTATATTGCAATGATCAGTTCTATTTCTTTCACATGAAGTACTGTACAAAGAAATATGTGAAATGACAATCTCACTTTGGAGGCCGTCTTTTATACACAGCAGAATCAATTTAAGATCAAAAGTTATTTCACAGTGCATTTACTGTGACTGTATCAAACAGATAAGAGAAAAGAAGATAAAAGATCAAACTGACATAGAACTAATGAAGATGGTACAATGGTGGGCGCCAAGATCCCTCTGGGATCTCATGTTCTGTAGTACCAGGCAAAGCCAGCTGTCAGTAATTTTACTGTTCTGGGAGCTTAACTCTGTACTTCACATTTAATTTGTAGAAATGCATTGTAAATTTTTAAATCAAGAAATTTAAATAAAAATAAAAAGTTCATGCCTACCGACCTCCAACCTACCTTTTTTAGGTCACCTGAGCGTTGGCTCAAGTGACCTATTGCTATCTGTCTTCGTCCGTCGTCATGCGTTGTGCGTTAACATTTTTCATTTTCAACCTAAGCTGAAATACTGTTGAAGAAATTTCATGAACGCTTCATGGGAATGTTACTGACATCTCCCTGACCAAGTGTTGTTATTTTTCAAGTTGGTCAGAAATCCAATATGGCCGCCACAGCCGCCATTTTGAAAAAAACTATTCCAAACTTAAAGTCAAGTTCTACTGGGCCAATTTAACTGACATTTGGTAGGAATGATCGACTTATGGTACTGACAAAGTGTTGTTGTTTCGGGTCAATCAGAAATCCAATATGGCCGCCACAACTCAAAATTTGAAAAAAACCTATTTCAATTAAACTAAAAGTCAAGTTCTTATAGGCCGATTTACTGAAACTCAGTCTAGTAGTGATCAAGTAATGGTCCTGATACGATAAACTTAAACTTATGCATAAACATTATTTATTCAAATTGGTAGGGATGATTGACATCATTATCTCCACTTCATATCTCAACAACAAAATTAAATACTGTAGGACTCGGGTGATCGTTAAGGCCCATGGGCCTCTTGCTTTCTTGCATGGTACGTCCTGAAACACACTTTTTAAAACGAATGTTTTTAGACTTTTTTAAGTTCCATAAGGCCCTGCTGTCCTGATACTTTGTCAGTTATTAAGGTACACTGTACATTTAGGTAGCTAAGATGGAGTGCTATTATATTTCCTTGCATGAATGACCTTGGCCTGCTTACAAGGTCACAGAGGTCCTTAATGTTGTCATAATTTCAAATCCTATATATTTTCTTATCGGGTATGAGTAACATATACAATCCTGCTATAAGGATTAACTCATAGGATGTTGCCACCATAAGGATTTAGGTTTAGTCCTATGGTAATGACATGGAGANCCCCCCCCCTTTACCCTTTACCCTTTAACCCCCTAAAACCGCATTCATTTATATATGAATCGCAAATAAATTTGCAATACCTTTTTCTTCATTGATATTTTCTATCTCTTTCCCACAGGGACCTGTGCCTTATGACTTTGGGAAAATAATTTAATTTTTGCATTGATTTTGGGAAAATACAGTGGAAATTATGGAAGGGAAGGGGGCGGCCTTATAGTGGCCCAAAATTCACCGTTTAAAAAATTACTCACCATGATCCTTGAATCAAATCATGAAATGGCATATTTAAATCAAGGATGTTGTTCTGATGGAATCTGATCTAAATAAGGAGATATATAATATATTCAAATAAGAAGTTTTTCCATGATTGCTTAAATCTCCGGGTGAGCAGTATAGGTTGTTTTGACCTTTCCTTGCTTACTATATTGTATATATCTTTTCCTTGAAATTGCACAGATGACAATATTTCAATATTTGTGATTGCAGGAGCCTGATAAAGATCCGTTTGGCCCAGATAGAGATTGGCAGTGTGAAGAAACAGCAATACCTTGAGGCTTCAGAAGAAAGGTTTGTGTAATACACTTCCTGTGTGTTTTGTCTGTGAAAAATATACACAGATAGACATATGATAAACTGCAGTGTAGGTAATTGGTTAAAAGTCCATAACCAATCATCATTATCTCTCAAACCATTGACCATTATGGACTGATCGATCGTGAAATGGAAGGGGAACAGTTTCTAGAAACAAACGTTAACTAATTATTTGATGACAGCCCTCCTAGTTTGCCAAAACATGTAAACTGGATTATATTAACTCATTCACCCCTGAAATTTCATAATGGTCTATTCTAACCTTTGAATTGGAAGAGTTCAAATGTGTCTTCAGGGGTGAATGAGTTAAAGTTGCCGAGACTCTCCGTTTGGTGTTGTCTGGTCATCTATTCTTTTTCTTTTGGATTTCAATTACCCTTATGGTTGGACTATAAGTAAAGTGAATTCCATTCAGGAATCCATCATCTTGGGTCCAAGTGTAAGGTTTAGATCTACACTTGCTGCAGTGTATAAATCTAAGTAAATATAAAAATAGGTTTTTAGGTCATCTCAGCCACAGGCTCAAGTGACTTATTCCAATCATCTTTCGTCCGGAGTGGCTTTGTTTGAATTGTTAATTTCAGTACCCCTGTATTAACGATTCACGCTTGGGGAGGGGGTAGAGTTTACTATAGTTTATTTAGGGAAAAAACACTTTTGGGTATATTTTGTCCATTTTCAGTAGGACATTATTCAAACTTAGTTGGAATAATTGTGATAAATTAAAATATCAATTTGATGATATGAGAAATAAGTCCCGTCCTTGCCCCGGTGGCTGGAGGGGTGGGGCCCGAATGGGGAAAAATATAATTAGGGTTAAAAAAATCTTCTGTCTCCGACTCAGATGTACTACAATCAAATACCCCTAATGGATTGAAAGGTCCTTAGGTGCTTGAATGAAAGTGTAATCTTCATTACCCCTGAGTCATCTGTTCTCCCTAAATTGGGAGGGGGTAAACTCTACTATAGTTTAATATCTAGGGAATAACAATATGTTAGGGATTTTTTTCCCTCTTCTCAGCAAGAAATTGTTAAAACTTTGTTGGCATAGTTTTGATGAAATTGAAATAAAAAAGTATCAGAAGGTAAGGTCCTGACCTACCCCTGGGGTTGGCCAAAGACGAAAATTGGCTTAGTGGCAATATAGATATCATATTTCTCTGTAGCAAAATAATTCATTTTAATAGAATTTATTGTAACTGGGTGGTGGAGTGGCGCAGTGAATAGCGCACTTGCCTTTCACCAAGGCGGCCGGGGTAGATTTACTGATCCGACATGAAAAGGTATGAGGTCATCTGCCCATCACGTTGGTTTTCTCTGGGTACTCGGGTTTCATCACCACACTAACCCCCCCCCCCCCCCCCCCCCCCCAAAAAAGATTTTTTTTTTATACAAAAGATGAACATACATAACATGCCTCAAACAACCAATACAATCACTAAAAACATATTTTTTCAAACTTATTCTGTTTTACTTTACATTTTTGATGCCACGTGACCAAAGTCTCATCATAACTTTGGGAAATACCTTCCGCAATGCGATATCTCGTCAAGTCATGTGATATGGCTCATGCCCTGTAGCTAATTTCCATGAAAAACATGGGTTGGTATAGAAAATGTTTGAAAATACTGTTCATAATGATCTTTGAAACATGTTATTGATATACCACCTAGTGCATAAAAAATAGATCTTTCGATCCATGTGCGACATGTGTGTAAAAGTGACGATTTGATTCTGAAATATCAGTTTGAAGAGCGACCCTGGCGTGGGTCACTTATTTCCCGCATGTTATAGAGGGACAGAGTTCTGACGTTAATCGACGCCAGACCGATATAAAAAGAGTCAATAAAACGTCAGAATAATTCGGACTACCCTAACCATTATGCTGCATGTAACTTGTTTTGGGTGGTCAGGTGGCGCAGTGGATAACACACTCGCTTTTCACAAAGGCACCCAGGGTTCGTTTCCCCGATTGGACGTAAAAAGGTATGACGTCACGTGCCCAACAACATGGGTTTTCTCCGAGTACTCCAGTTTCCTCCCAGGTTAAGACTCCATGCACATCTGGGCCAACAAGAGTAATCAATTTAAGTAATATAACTTGTTTCATGATTGTTGTAAAATAAATAAATTTTATATTTAGATATATGTAACTTCTTTTCTGTGAAAAGCTGGTAAATGTATGTTTTACAGACATATTTTATTTTTTAATAAATGCGTTTAATTTTTTCTTTCATTACAGAAATGGTGTTACGGAACAGTTCCAGGCGATGTCCGACCAATTGAAGGCTTTGAGGGCCAAGTCTAGTGATGCCTATCTTCTTCTTTTCCAAAGTATGTTTGACTTAATGAATGCCGTCAACTGGTTGCCTCCAGGAATATTATGGTCTGGTAAACTGTCTACAGCCCAGAGTGGAGTTTGTGGTATGATTTCAACTGGTATAATGCTTTACCGAGGATGGCCTGCTGAAAAAGACAAGAAATCGTGATCATAAAAATGCTTTGAATTGTCCTTCATGACGAGGGGAAATAGAGTCTTGATTTGCTTATGTCAAAGAAAGTTTTAAAATTGTTTCATGGAAAGTTTAAGAATTTCTTCTGTCACAGTTGATTTTAAAATTGTTTGTGTCATATAGGATGTTTTGAATTGTATGTCTTGAAAAGTCTGTGTGAAAGAAAGTCTTGAAAATAATCAATATTCAAAGTAAAAAATAATGTTTGATACCATAGTGTATCTGATGGTAACATTTTGCTTCTGTGTCACTGAAATGTTTCAAACGGCACATGACATGTGTTTGTAAAGTGTGAGTTTTGGTACGGACTGAAATAAAACATACAGTGTAAATATCATCATACTAGAGACATAATGTGCCATTTTTTAAAGGTCAAGTTGCATAGATGATATATCTGGTGATATATTGCCTTTTTAATGCTTTGAAATGACATTAATTTCAGTTTACATTTTTTTGTTGCAATAGGTTCAGATTACTGCTTTGAGTTTAAGGTTTGATTTCGTTTAATTAAACTATTTTCATTTTAACTTAATTTGACCTTAAATTTTGTTGCAATCATGTTTATAATATAGTTTAAATTGAAGTGTTTATGGTGCTGAATGTAAATGTGAGATGTAATCAGTATTATTATTTTATCTTGTGCCATCTCTCCTGTATCGTCGATATCAAGGGGTTACCTCACTTTCGCTCTCTACACCCCTGGAATATGTCATAGAAAAATTGAAGGCACGCGGCTAGCTATTTGATTGTTGTCAGGTAAAAGTCCTGACCAATCACTAGGCTGATGCTTGTTCTTTGAAGATTACAGAGGAACGAAACCCGACTTCAAAGCCAGAAAGTTTTACTGTAACGCGACCGCGAGATTCTTTTGATGTACATCAAAGGATCAAACTGGTGCACACTGAGCCTTCGATTTTGCCATGACATATTCCAGGGGTGCAGAAAGTGAAAGTGAGCGTAACCCCTGGCATCGACGATGTCTCCCCTAAATATCTAATTCTGTTAAAAAGTAAAAGAAATGCTACCCTGAAAGATGTTTCTTTGTATAGTCAAAGTATATAAAATATCTTATACTATTGAACTGAAATTAATTGAAGCAGGTTCTTGTCAGCCTATATACAACATGTATATAGATGTATTTCAAATATATGCTTTTGGAAATTGCTAGTACTATTTCTATAGAGTCGAGCAGTGTGAAAAAAAAAATTCAAGGTAAAATCATATTTGACAATGATGTCTATTTTGATATGTTTCTAATTTTTTATTTGGATTGAAAAAAATGCATTGGCTTTGACAATGTGGCTCTGAATACAAGCAGCTTTTTAGGTTTGCTTCGGTTAAGTATAATAATCTTGTCCAGTATGTATATCTAGCACTCATCAAGGTGGAATGGAGCCTCGAACGTCTCGCCATGTAACTAAACCATAGGGAAGGGAGCTTTAATGTTGTTCCTGGCACAAAGTGTCTCGTCCCTAAAACTTCAGGGGTTACAATCTCTAACAGTTCTACTAACCTCTGGAGTATTTCATGACAAAGTGGAAGGCATGTGGCTAGCTATTTGATTGATTTTTATTTTAAGAAAATGACCAATCGCTAGACTGCTATATATATGCCTTTTGAAGATTACAGAGGAGAGACACCTTATTTTTAAAGCTGGTAAATTTTACTGTTGTTTCTGCACGATTCTTTTTAGGTACAGAAAGTACCATACTATTTCACTTGTATATTGTATTACTTACAAGGTTGGCAAATGGAGTCTGGTATTTCGTCATGGCATAATCAAGGGTTGCAGATATATTAAGTGAGGGTATCCCTTGGCATTTCGAGGATGAAAGTGCCTCAAAGCTTGTTTTGTGGCCTGTCTGTTGTCAGCTCTTTGTTTGAAGACTCCAGTCCAGAATACATGAAGTTGTTTCAACCAATTAATGGTACATTATCTTTGTAACCTCCCTTAGCCAGTAGAACGCTGTTGTTTTAAAAAAAAATGTTACTCCCACAGGGTAAAGTGAATAGAAATAATGAGAAAAATAGTGATGAATGCTTTAAAAACATCTTTTTGTGTGTTTTATTTTACACAATAAAGTATGGGTCGTCCCTACCCAAAGCAAAATTTCTTTCGATTAAATGAAGGCTATGAATTCTTCTTTGTGATGGAGGGTTGGCACTGACCTACATCGGTAAATTGGAGTTCATTTTAAACTCATTAGACAAGTTTCCATTGACCAAGGGGGATAACTGCTGTATAAATGAATCTGAAATTGAAATTCATGGACCAAGGTATTACTTTGTTAAGTTGTTTATATCACTGCTCACTTGAGTTTTAGGGTAGGTATAATGTTTGGAGTGGATTTTAATTAAGAAAAACAATTATGACATATAAATGAAAGTGTTTTAACATTATTTTTGGTAAATAATATATAGGACTAAATGTTTTACATTGTAGTATGGTTATCCATTGTGGTACGGGAAACAACACATTCATACTTGCCAACTTTTTGAAATTTCCATCAGGGAAATTCTGTTTGCTCAAAACCAAAATTAAAATTAAGTATATACCCCCTGGAGACAAAATAACACTTTAAAACTACATGTGTTTAGTTGTTTTTTCAGATGAGAACATCAGATCTTAGAATATAGGTATAGTTTAGATAACTCTCTGGCTGAAACTACCAAATAAAAGGGTCTAAAATCGGGAGTCCCTCTCCCAAATAGGGAGAGTTGGCAAGTATGCACATTAGAGGGGATGGGGTTAGGTGAATCTTAGAAAGAGTATTTCACGAAACATCCGTAGGCAAAGGAATATAAACATTTCCAGTGTAAAGAGGGATAAATGTAAAAAAACTACTTTTCAAGCACAGGCGAATACTTTTTAACCTAATTTGTTTTAAAGTATCACAAGGTAAATTGTTTTATGCATATATGTTTAGATGTGGCCCAGAAATTATAAATTGGGTTGTACTTTATATTGAAGCAATACTCTTTAATTCTGTATGATCCTGTGCAGATTTTTTGTAATCACATTATTGATTGTAGGTAGTCTGCTTGTAATACTTTTGTGGTCAGGAGACAGTTAATCATTATTATTTGTATATCTTTATCTTTAACATTCTGCCTTTACCAAAAACCTAATAACCATGAATATATAGTACAGAGATGTATAACATACTTTTGTACCCTGTCAAGCAAGGAGACATTTTATAAAAAAATACAAAAATCATGACCTTAAAAATAAAAAGGTATGATTAAGGATACAATTTGTGATCATTAACTCATTCACCACTGATATTTTATTATGAACTATTTCAACCTTTGAATTACAAGAGTTCAAATGAGTCTTCAGGGGTGAATGAGTTAAACAAAGTGTTTTTAAAAATGTTTGACCTTTCCTGGTCACGACAGCACATGTTAAAATATTTAAGGTTTCTGCAGAAACATGTTGGAAATGTGTAAATGAGAATCATAAAACTGTTTTAAGGGTATGGCCTGAAATAATGTGCATTTTTGTATTGTATCGAGAGTGGAAGCTAAAAGTTGTATAAAGTTCAGCATATTTGTTGGCCTTGTAGCCTCTGGCTGGTATGCAATGACTTTTTTTCGTTGGCCTGATATTTGTATCCAAGGTAACCCGTTTACTGTACTTCACTCCTGTATCTATCATAGACGATATATTTCTACGCAAGTTCAATTATCTTGCAAATATTCAGATGCCAATGTACTATGGAGGACTTTATATGGAGTTGTTGTTCTAACTTTGCAATTTTAAGTCCTCTTGAATATGCCGTTTAAGGTAATTGCATTCAGGAGGCTTTAGCTATATTAGCGCACATAACATTACCTAATTCTTAAATTGGGAGATAACTTGCTACCTGATGTGTTGTCCAAATGTCAATATCAATATGGTGTTGCTAAGTATATTGACATAATGCCATATATGGTTACTCGCTCTAACTGAAAATGCACCCACGTGAGCAGGATCTGTTCAGTACACCATTTTGAGATGCATGGTGTTTATTCGATATGTTAATTAATTATCGTGAAATTTTATTTATAATTATATCAAATATACTTTATCATTCAAATTGTTGTCTGTTGCGAATGAATGATTAAAACGTATTTTTATACTATGCAGAATAAACAAATGTAATAATTCGTGTGTTTGTTTGATTCTTTACAGTAATCTTAAGAGCAAAGTTATAAATCATTTTTGAAAAGTTATTCATCATGTAATTTTGTTAAACAATACAGTATATTATTTGTAGGTATATTGTATGTAAACATTAAAATTGAGGTCAGAACCGATACTTAGCACGGCTCTGGACCATAATGTTAAACTAGAAAGTAATTTTTTCAGATTTTTCATATCATTTATAGCTTACCTGCCCCAAAACATGTGAGTTTATGCCATGACAAGGCATCTGGCGTCCGTCCGTCCGTCCGTCAACTGTTTGTTTAAACGACTTCTCCTGAAGGTCCGAAAGTCCTACAGTCTTGATATTTGGCCAGTAACATCCTGGAATAGGGCCCGACAAAGTTTGCGAATGAAAATGATGTAGGCCTACTTTCAAGGTCACAGGGGTCTAAACCTTCGATCGACTTCTTCTGAAGATCCGAATCTCATGAAGTCATGATATATGGCCAGTAGCATCCTATAATGACGTAGGCCTACTTTCAAGGTCACATGAGTCAAAAGTTAAAAACATTCAAACGACTTCTCCTGGATATCCGAAAGGCCTAGAGTCAGGATATAAGGTCAGTTCCATCCGATGATGGCGCACAGTTTGGAGATGAAAATGACCTTGACCTAATTCTGGGGTCACAGGGGTCAAATATGTCTAAACATTCAAACGACGTCTTCTGAGGATCCGAAATACCTGAAGTCATGATATATGGCCAGTAGCAACCTATAAGGTTGTATGCCTACTTTCAAGGTCAAGATATTTGGCGAGTAGCATCATATGATGGAACCCGACAACGTTTGCGAATGAAATTAAGTTGGCTTACTTTTAAGGTCACAGGGATCAAATAGGTCAAAACATTCAAACAACTTCTTTTGAAGATCTGAAAGGCTTAGCGTTATGGTAAATGACCAGTACCAGCCTATGATGGCGCACAACAAAATTGCTAATGGAAATGAGCTTGACCTACTTTCAATGTCACAGGGATGAAATAGCTGAATATCTGACAGGCCTAGAGAAATGCTATTTGGCCAGTAGCATGCCAACAAAGTTTTCGAATGAAAACGACCTTGACCTTCTTTCAAGGTCACAGGGGTAAAATAGTTGAAAACATTCAAGCGACATCTTCTGAAGATCCGAAAGGCCTGAAGTCATGATATTTTGTCAGTTACATCCTTAACATGTATGATAAAACAGGACAAAGTTTGCGAATGAAAATATGAGGCTTTTTATGTTCACTGTATGAATACGTCTCTGTACCAGAATAATGCTGTTTATGTTCACTGTATGATGACGTCTCTGTATCCAACATAATGCTGTTTATGTTCACTGTATGATGACGTCTATGTATCCAACATAATGCTGTTTATGTTCACTGTATGATGACGTCTCTGTATCCAACATAATGTTGTTTATGTTCACTGTATGATGACGTCTATGTATCCAACATAATGATGTTTATGTTTACTGTATGATGACGTCTCTGTAACCAACATAATGATGTTTATGTTCACTGTATGATGACGTCTATGTATCCAACATAATGCTGTTTATGTTCACTGTATGATAACGTCTC